AAAACCATGGCACTCCTCTTGCTGGAGTCCCAACCTTCTTAACTTTGAAGAATTAAGCTACTTACTCTTGTAGGCTCCCTGTGTTTGTGAGCTCACAGGGTAAGGAGTAGAAAGCAGCTCCTAAAAGCTGAGGGAACCCCCAGCTGACAGCAAGAAACTGAAGCCCTCTGTCCTATAAATTCTGCCCAAAGAAGTGGTTCCTTGTCCTGTCAAGCCACAAACAGTCCCCACTGCTACTTTTATAATAGCTTTATGAAATGCCAAGCAGAGCTATGTTCAGAATTCTAAGCCAGAGAAACTGTGAAATAATACATGTGCATTGTTTGGTTGGTTGGTACTGGGGATCGAATTTGGGCCCTTGTGCTTGTGAGGCAGGCACCAGAGCTAAATCCCCGGCCCTAAATGTGCATTATTTTAAAGCACCAAGCTTGTGGTTACTTTTATACAATAACAAGAAACTAATATAATCCCCACTCTACCACCACTGGCACTCAGCCATACCCTCCTTTCCATACAGTGAATCATAATGTTGAAAATGGTCAACACATATTACTGTAATTCTATACATACAGCTGAGTACTATTCTCCAATCAGACTACTACTACTTTGTCATGTGTGTCATGTGTCATGCATAAACACATGTGCTGGAAACTGAACTCAGGGCCTACGTACTTTTTTGTCACTTTTTATGCTAATGTATCTTGGATTTTTTTGTTTGCTACTTTTCCATTTATTATTAATTGCCCTCAAAACTCTTATATGTTCAAATGTAGTGTGCTATAAGAAATATAATGCATAACCCATAAAAAAGACTGATAAACTACACTAATATTTTAAAACTTAGTTTATTGAAAGGCACCAAAAAAATAAAAAGATGACGAGGGGAAAAAATGAGAACCAAGACCACCTGTCATGTAAAGGTACAAGATCCCAATGATGAATGTAACTGTACTGTATACCTAAAATGTACCAATAAACTCAATAAAAGGAAAAAGAAGAAGGGAAAAAAAAAAGATGAAGACAACCCATATAGAAGTTGTTACATAAACATCAAAGGCTCAATATCCAAAACATATGAAGACTACAAAACAGTGAGAAAAAGGTAAACAAGCTGTAGTAGTCAGTTTGCTCATCCCTGGACCATGAAACCCACCACCTATAACATAAAGGAAAAGAGGTTTCATTTGGCTTATGGTTTCATGGGTTCAGACCATGGTCAACTGGTTCCCAGGCAGAAACATCATAGTGGAAGGGTGTGGGGGGGCAAAGATGTGTAGTTCATGGCAGCTGGCAAGCAGAGTAGGGACCATATATAGTACCCAAGGTCATGCTCGTCACCCATTCAGATATACCTAGAAGCGTGTTTAATGATCTAATGGGAGCCTCACAGGCCAGTCAAAATGACACGATTAAGCTTAACTGTAACATTCTACCCTTGTCAACTTGACACCTAAACACTTCTCCTTAAACCATACTTAATCTCTAAACAAACACAATATTAAGTTCATAATTGCACCTAACATGATACAACTATCCAGTGTACAAATGAAAACACAATAATCTCTTCCCCCAGAGTCTCAGAAGTTCAACCAATTTTCAAAAGTCCAACTCAAAGTCTCTCCTGAGGGCTGGGGATTTAGCTCAGTGGCACTTCGCCTGCCTCTAAGTGCAAGGTTGTGAGCTTGATCCCCAGTACCAAAAACAAAAACAAAGTCTCTCCTGATGGTCAAGGCAGAGTCTGAGCTGTGAATCTCTGTAAAAATCAAGAACAAGTTACATAATCCAAGGTACAATAGCACAGGGTAAACATTCCCGTACTAAAAGGGAAGATTAGAGGGATAGAAAACAACTGTATCAAAGTAGCCCAAACACCAGCAGGGAAAACATTGAAACTTGTAGGTTTATGTCCAGCATCAATGGCATACAGTGGTAAAATGTGAGTTCCAGAGGGCTTCAGTGGCCTCACTCCTATGTCCTCACTGGCTGCAGCTCACACTTTATTCTGGTCTGGCTCTGCTTTGCTGCCGTGAGATTTCTTCAGCAGATGTTCCACATTCCTGGCATCTCCAACTTCCTGGGTTCTCCACTGGACTTTCAGCTTCACTGTCGTAGCTTCAGGCACTGACGTCTCAGGGGCTGCTAGCCTGGCCTTCTACGCCTTCCTTTGAAATCTAAGTGGAAGCCTCCCTGACCCCATAAGTCTTGCATTCTATATGCCAGTAATACCAGCATTACATGGGACATGCCAAGTTCTGTCACCAGTTCGCTAGGCTACCCTGAAATATGGCTGCAACAGTGTCTGAAAACCTAATGGCTGAGCACAGTGAAATGAATCCCAGGGAACCAATTCCAGGAGACCCTTCACAAGCAGAGGGCCCAAGAATTCTCTTCTTAAATAAAAGGTTTATACTTTTGCACCTTTGAGCCTGCAATGAGTGGAGGCTTGCTAATTCCTGAGATGCCCTCAAGGCATCTTTCTTCTTATCTGTGTATGAAGTGCTTGGTTCCTTTTTAGTGGTGATAATCTCTTCAGCAGCCACAGCTCCTTTGCCACCAGCTTCACACATGGCTCTTTCTAGGCCAAAAAAATTAAGTTTTTCAAATTGTTCTGCTCTGCTTTTTGTCCCTAATTCTTTTTTTTTTTTGGTACCAGGATTGAACCTGGGTCCTTGCGCTTGCAAGGCAGGCCACCAAACCACTGAGCTAAATCCCCGGCCCTGTCCCTAATTCTTAATATAAACTTGGCTGAAAACATTCAGCAGTACTCATGCCACAGCCTGAATACTGGGCTACCTTGAAATTTCCTCTGCAGATAAATTTGTCAACCACCCTTAATCTGCACCCTGTAAAGTCTCAGGACATGTGAAAAATGTGGATTTTTTTTTTTTTTTTACAAGAGGGTAACACGTATGCCCTCCGGTCCAATTGTCAACAAAGTCCTTATTTCCAACTGAAACCTGCTAAGCCTGACCCTTACTGCCAGCATTCTAGTCTTATAAGCCTCAACCAGAATCATCGATCAGGCTCTGCTTACAGCACTCTAAAGCTTCTCTAGCCAGCCTCTCTTCTCCGAACTTTTCCAAACTCCTCCTGCAACCAACTTCCAAAGGCTTCTAAATCACATAGTCAGAAAGAGTCACAGCAAAACCCCCATTTCTCTAGTACCAATTTACTCTATTAGTCAGCTTCCCCATTACGAGGACAAAATATCTGACATCCCATGTTAAAGGAAGAGGAGTTTAACATGGCTCACAGTGGCAGGAGATTCACTCCATGATCATTTTGCTCCAAGGCAGAAACATCATGGTGGAAGGGTTTGGGAGAGCAAAGATGCTTACTTCATGGTGGCTCAGAAGTAGAACAGGAAAACAGTGCCATAGAGAACGATGCCAGTGACAATATATAATATACTTTCCAAGATCATGCTTCCATGACGCTCCTAGACACACAAAATATGTGCTTTACTAATCCCTTAGGAGGCTCTCAAGCCAACTGAGTTGGCATCAAGTGTAACCACCACACGAGCCAACAAGAAAATGTGCAAAATACATGAACAGGAAGAAGTAAGTTAGTGAACATCAGTTACCTCTAGGTTGATTGCTACAAAGGAGAGAGGAACATTCTACTCCACACTTCTTTCTCTGAGTTTTATATGATATGTATCACTACCTTTCCAGAAACACAAATAAAAAGTGTTATTAAAAATGAAAATAGGGGGCTGGGGATTTAGCTCAGTGGTGCTGTCACCTGCCTTGCAAGTGCAAGGAACCGAGTTTGATCCCTAGTACAAAAAAAAAAGAAAAGAAAAGAAAATAGGAGCCAGGCGTGGTGGTGCATGCCTGTAATCCCAGCACTCCGGAGGCTGAGGCAGGAGGATTGCTGTGAGTTTAAAACCAGCCTGGGCTACACAGTGAGTTCCAGGTCAGTCTCAACTACATAGTGAGACCCTGTCTCAAAAAAAAAAACAAACAAA